TTGAAAATAACGAAGGCAGCTAAAGTTAGATTATTAGTCGATACAGGCGCTTCGATAAATGTTTTGAAAATGTCTAGCATAAAGCAAAATAAATATATTCATACAAATATTGTAACCGATATTACCGGAATAACAGAAGGAAGCATAAAAACATTAGGAGCTATATACAGGGTGTTGCGAAATTCGACCGACAACGCTTGACAGGTGATAGCCCTCGTGATTTCATAATCACTTAGATAGGAACATATGGTCTCCAAGTGTTCAGTTCTCGAGATACAGGGCGTTGAAGTTGAGAAATTGGAATAGTTTTTTCGCAATATCTCAAGAAAAATTGTGTATAATGCATTCAAATTCGGTATATGGTTTCATCTTTCAATAGTCCATTTTTTGAACAAGAAGACATTCCGAGAATTCTATTCATAGGTACGCTACAGGGGGTTGTGATACTTTTCCTCCCATATTTTCTACGCCACTGACGAAATTTTGATTATTTCCAATTTCTCGAATTCATTGTTCAATTATGTTGAAAAAATGCATTACCTTCAACTGAGCTAAAATTAACTGTTATCGAGATATTTGACACAAAATAGAAGTTTGCATAGTAATTTTTCATCTTCCTCAGTAGTGGAAAATTACAAAAATGTTTGTTTTCTCTTTATTCGTAGAATAACTATTTCTGTTCAGCTACAGGATGAGATCTGAATAGTATCTAATCTACTCAACACCAGAAAAATATTTTTGCAATTTTCTACTACTGAAAATGATGAAATATTACTATGCAATCTTCTATTTCGGGTCGAATATCTCGAAAACTGTTCATCTCAGCTCAGCTGAAGATGATACATTTTCTGAACAAAATTGAACAATGAATTCGAGGAATTGGAAATAATCGAAATTTAATCAGTGGCGTAGAAAATATAGGAGAAAAAGTTACCACAATCCCCTGTAGGGCACCATTGGATTAAATGTCCGGAATGGCTTCCTGGTCAAAAAATGATCCATTCAAAGATGAAACCATATACTGAATTTGAATGCATTATATTAAATTATTCTTGAGATATTGCGAAACAACTATTTTTATATCTTAACTGCAACGCCCTGTATCTCGAGAACTGAGCACTTGAAGACCGTATGTCTCTATCTCAATGATTATGAAATCACGAGGGCTATCACCTGTCAAGCGTTGTCGGTCGAATTTCGCAACACCCTGTATATTTGAGAATTTAGGAAATGATAAACAGATTTGTTTTCATTTGATAGAAGATGATTTTCCACTAGGATGTGACGGAATATTAGGAAACGAATTTTTTGAATCAAACCTAGCAGTCATTAGTTATAAAGACCAGTGTATTCGTTATGATAATGAAGTTATCGATTTTTGCGATTTTGAGGATTCTTCCGAGAATTCTAACGATATTATGAATTTAGAAGATACAAAAGTGAGAAGAAAGTATGAGCAAAATAACTTAGGAGAGACGAATTTAGAAAACTTTGAGAACAGAAACTTAGAGACCAGAGCATTCGAAACCACAAATTTAGACAGAAACTTCGTAAACAAGATTCGTATACATGCTAGATCGGAACATATATTCGAGGTGAACTGTACAGTAGACAAGAAAGACAAAGACACTTACATTTGTGAGAATAAAATTTTAGAAGAGGGAATTTATTTGAGTCGTTGTTTAACTAATGTTAAAAAAAATAAATGTATCGTAAGTTTCATCAATATCTCAGAGTATCCAGTTGAAATAGATATACCGAGTGTAAATCTAGAAGCAATCGAATTAGAAGAAGTTGAAAATACTCAAAATGTTGTGTTTAATTTGAATAAAGCTGATTCTAGGGTTCAAAAGCTACTAGACAGTTTGAGATTGGAACATTTGAACCAAGAAGAAAGATAGTTATTTATTATACAAGGGAAAAAAGTAGTAGATTTCAGCTCCAGGTTGTGTTGTCTCCCGACGCTTAGCGGAGGGAGACAACAAACCGTGAGCTAAAATCTAATATTTTTCCCGTGTATAATACACTATTTTTTTCTGTGACAGAAGAAAGGACGAATCAATATTGAGAAGATATTACATTATTTTGAAATCTAAAAATTATCGACGTGAAATTTTAAGTTTTTAACAGTATTGACACCGCGTTGTAGGCATCTTTATCATTAATTTGAAGTGATCAAATATCTGATGTAACTTCTGTCAGTCTGATTCTGTGATTTGACTTAAAAAAATTGCGAATTCAGTGGTTGTTTAGTAATATAAGTCCCCGCGAAGTCGAATGGAAGATAAAAGGACATGCAGTTCTTTCTCGGAGACGGTATTATTGACTAATTTTTCGGAAATATAGCACAACCAAAGCCATCAACAGTGTATATATATGTTATATATATCCGGGAAAGAAGTACTCACTTTTTTCCCACGGGAAAAAAGTAATTTATGAAAAGTGACATTTTATAACCTGCCAACAGGGATGAAATGCCAAACTTTTTTCCCGTCACAGAAAAAAATTCTTTATTAGATATTCTTCGAGATTTTTCGGACATTTTTCATCTAGAAAACGAATATTTAATGTGCACAAGTGCAGTAAAACACAGAATTCCTCTAAAATCGAACGTGGAACCGGTAAATATTAGGCAATATAGATTACCATTCAGTCAAAGGGAAGAAATAGAAAGACATGTTATGCCTTTAAATCTCAGGGGGTGAGTAGTAAAAAAAATTGAATAGAATTTTATTCACCCCCGAGTTTGGTTGATGAATTACCTAAGATTTACTAGGTGTTTTAAATCTTAAATGTATTGACAACAGAAAAAGTGTTTTTAGTGCCCAGTTTGATACCGTAGAAACTAGACACTGGTAGTTCAGCGGGACAAATGGGTGGGTACGTTAGGCTTAGTAAAATACTAAGTTTGATAGGGATGAATATGCTTTTAATCACAAGTAAATTCTGAAATGACAAATAATGTGCTCCAAATGATACTATAGTTGGCTCAAGACTTCCAAAGTAACTGAGTATCAATAGCAATATTACCTAAACAGTGTACAATTATTGCAACAACAAGAAATATAAATTGACTGACTGAAATCAACTCTTCAGATCAGTGTAAAATAATACAATCACTGCTCAAAATCAACTCTCTGAGACAGTATGATAATATATATAGCTTATTAATCAACAAAATAACTCAGTAAGTCAGTATCGATGAGACAAAAAAATAATAAGGCCTATTTTACCGCAGTGCACTTTTGGTTTACAGGGGTATATTTTGTAGCTATACTGAGTGTCTATTAAAGCGATGACATGTTGCAATTATATTATGTTGAATGAAATTTAAAACTGATGAATTATGCATGGTTGGTGGTAGTTTATCCCAAGTAAAATACTATCCCTGATGGTGCATGGAACGAACTCACCAAATTATGAGCAGGTCCTGATGTGTATCATCTGGCTCTGATGTACAGGGGGATCAGGTGAAGTCAGGCAGCGTTGTCAGGTGGTGTCGCCTGTGTGTCGCCCTTCAGCCACAAACAAGCAGGCTTCCAAAGCAGGCAAAAACGGAGCTACCGCACCAGCGCAGACTCCAGTGCAGACTCCAGTGCAGCAGTCCCAGGGAGTTGAAGGGGGCCAAATCTCGAATGCAACGAACGGGAGAGAAGGCTTTAGCCCGATAAAAGGAACCCTAGATGGAATGACGACAATCGTGCGTTATTTTACCAACACAAGGAATGACAAGAAAATAGCAGCTGATGATTAAAAGAATATATAGTACCTTGGATGTTGTGTGGGTTCCAGAAGTGGTGATGCAGGTCGGCTCGGCCACGTGGATTTCAGCCACGAAGAATCCCTCTATAGAGGCAACAGGAATCCCATCATCCCAGCGATGATAATGGATATCCCAAATTTGAGATCTTTTCCTAATTAATCCCAACACTAAGTAATGGAAAATCGAATGTTAGACAAATTCGAAATTATTCAAGAAACAGATCTCACGGCTTACTTTTGTGACCAGGCTGGTAGACTGCTGCAGACAAAATGGTGCCTATGAAGATCGAAGGGGCTGTCCTTGCCACATCTCACCGGAAGATCACCCTTTTTTGTGTATCTTCCCCTATACTCCCACACACATCAATCACCGGACGATATAAAATTATAGGCGGGAGATATCCCCGCGAACACCCTGTACATGGCATTTCTACCTCACCATGGTAGTGAAAACTATGTCGATAATATCAAGAGAGGTGTCTAGACCATCAGAAAAGAAGGAATATCATTAAATCACCTGTAATATATCTGTGAACATTATATTGAGTAAATTTATTTGCGCACCTTGTAGCGCACTTTTTATTAACATTGGTTTTTAGGATACCTATATGTGAATAGATATGAAGGTCGTGAGTGGACGGCAGTCTTTAGTCGGGAATATTCATAGTTGAATGTAAAGAAGTAATGTCGATAAAATAAATCGCGTGTTTGCTGAAATGAGTGTTTTCATGTAACTTTGAATACTATTGCCAGTTATTATTGTTTGGATTTGAAACTTCAAATATTCAAACGCGGTCATGCGCAACTGAGGATCATTGTAGACCTGAATAGTGGGGCGAAATACGTCATCATCTTCTTCCCGTGCGATGACCCTTTATCACCATGTAACATAACCTATAACGCCCATACTTACAAGGAATTAGTGCCAAATCAACGAACAGGTACATAATGGCGAAGATACAGAGTGCCAAATCATCATAACGAGATATGGTGCTGATTGTGAGCCGTTAGAGCCACAGAACTTAAACACAGAGGAGAAGGGAAAAACAGTGTTATGATTCTGTTCCTACAAGGACAACAAAAATGGCGCTGATAGCCCCATGATGAGTTTGCGCATTAGCATGCATTAGTAAATGTTATTTGTCAATGACATTGTTTATTTGTTGTTTAATTACAATTTCTCAGTTTTTTTCCTTTTTACCCTAGATTTTTTTCTACGTTTTTGAAGTGTTATCATCATGCCTGAAAGATGTTTCATTTGGTCTTGCCAAAGCAGTGGTAAACTCCCAAATATTTACTATTTTCGGTAAGTAATCCTTTTTTTAGGTTACTAAACAGACCCGGCTTGGAAAATTTTTAAACCAAAACATGCTTTAATTTATTTTGTTGTTTTAGCTTTGGTTCCAGGAAGGAACTATGGCTTGAAGCCTTGGGAATACCTGATAAGGATATAAGTTCTAGGAATCTTCTTTGTTCCAAACATTTTGATGCATCAGATGTTGTGTTTCCTGATAGTGAACATGGCAGAGTAAGGCTCAAACCAAAAGCTGTGCCCAAACATTTCATAATCAAAAGGAAATCAACTGACATTCTTTCTTCTGAACCCCCGAAAAAAAAAGTTGCAAGGTATGTGATTACTTTGATTAAAATCTCCAGATTCCCTGATTTGTTTTCATACCTACTAGTTGTTATAAAACAGATTTCTTTTATCATAGCATGCAAATTAACTTTTGGAAATGATGATACTGCTGTTAACTCAAGCACTACAAAATGAAACATTCTGATGGAGTATTTTTTATAGGAAACACCATGATATGTTGGAACAAGAACAACCTTCCACATCCATGAATAAACAACCTAGTAATGATTATGAAGCAGAAGTTGTTCATATCCCAAAGCACATGAAAGAACAGTATAACTTATAATATTCAATAATTTTTAACCAAAATACTTCCTGAAATACCTACTATAACCTTGACTATAACTGCCTTCCACCTCAATATATTGAAGCTGATTATTTAATTCAAGCTTGTATTTATGTTTCATTTGGATATGAAATATCATGAAAAAGTAATCTATAGGTAGATAAAGTTGATACCTATTATTAAAAAATGTGTAACAATAGTGTAGAAGTTCATATACTTAACTCCTGTTTGGTTTTGTGTTTGCCTCTTACCATGTGTAACATTGTTTTAGAAAATACTAGTGAATGCATTTTTTTTTTCAGGCTTTCCAGTTCAACTGATAGTGCTGGACTGAAGCATACTCCTAAAAGAAATAGGAGGCTAATTAAAAAAATTCATACATACAGGTGTGTACATTTCCTTATGATTACTTGAAAGTTGAAAAACAGAAGATCAAAAGGCTCAGGAAGAAGGTTGGCCATTTGAATGATGCTGTTCAAGATATCAAAAGAAAAGATTTGTTGAGTCCTGGTGCATGTTCTATACTTGAGAAATCTTTTTCTGGAGTGTCTCTAGCATTGATGAAAAGAATGCTCACAAATTCTAGGAGGGGAAAAGTTGGAAGACAAAAATATGATGCAACACTGAGGAGTTTTGCAATGACATTGCAATTCTATTCTAGTAAAGCTTATGAATATGTGAGAAAAACTTTCAATTTATCATTACCTAGCCAAAGAGTCATAAGAAGTTGGTTGAGTAACATTTCTTGTGAACCAGGATTTTCTCAGCCTGCCTTCGACTCTCTGAAAGAGAAAGTATTAGAGAACAAAAACAAAGGCTACTCCACACTATGCAGTTTGATGCTGGATGAAATGAGCATAAAAAAGCATGTTGATTTTGTAGGTGAAAGATCTTGGGGTTATGTTGATTTTGGGTCCAACTTGAAATTTGATGACCTCACAGATCAGGCCTCTGAAGTTCTGGTTTTGATGCTGGTTGCCCTTAATGGACAGTGGAAGTTACCAATTGCATTTTTTCTGGCCAAATCATTGAATGGGGCAGAGAAGGCCAATATCGTACGTGAAGCACTGAAGATGGTACATGAATGTGATGTAATTGTTACATCACTAACATCTGATGGACCAAGTGCAAACTTCACGATGATGAGTGAACTTGGTGCAAAATTCAAAGATTTGAATAACATTCAACCATATTTTCTGCACCCTGTTGATGCAACGAAAATATTTATAGTTTTTGATGCCTGGCACATGATGAAATTAATCAGAAATAATTGGGCAGTATTGAATAAATTTGTGGACCCTGATGGTGGTATTGTAGACTTCAATTATATAACTCTGTTACACCAGCTTCAAGAACAAGAAGGGCTTCGTCTTGGAACAAAGCTTAAAAAAGCTCATATGGAATGGGAGAAACAGAAGATGAAGGTCCCTACCCTTATTCAATACAACTTTCAAAATAATATCTTCATTTATTATTGCCACATTTGAAACTGGCTTCTCAAAATCTTCAGGAAAAAAATATGTATTAGTTTCTCTTTGTTTTCAGGTTAATTTGGCAGTTCAGACTCTGAGTGATAGTGTGGCTAGTGCTATAGAATTCCTCATGGTTGATATCAAAGATCAAAGATTTGCAGATGCTGCTGCCACAATAAGATTCATTCGACTTGTGGATAAAGTTTTTGATCTTTGTAATTCAAGGACTCCCATGACAGTAAGGATGAAAATGCCTATTCAAATCCAGAATGAGGATTTGTGGTTGCCAGTCTTCGAAGATGCAATTCATTATTTCTTGAATTGCAAAGATCTACAGGGTAAACCACTTGTATCAACTACTAAGAAAACACCATTTCTCGGATTTATATTGACAATCAAATCAATTATTGGAATATATGAAGCCCACATCAAATCTGCTGATGCCAAGTTGAAATATTTGCTCACATATAAACTGAGCCAGGATCATTTGGAATTATTCTACTGCAGTATTAGGTATTATTATTATCATTATTATCATTATTATCATTATTATCATTATTATCATTATTATCATTATTATTATTATCATTATGAGCATTTTGGACTTTTACCAAACATTGGTATCATTGTTATAATAATAATAATTATTATTAATAAAATTCCAATGAGTTTGAGATGTTTGAATATAAAAACATTCAAAAATAAAATTAAAATATGGATTATGGGAAATGCAAACAAAATTGATGATCTTTTTTAACATTTTTTAATTATTTAAAATATTTTTTCAATAATTTCAATGATTTTTAATGTTTTCAAAACTTTTTATTTGTTTTCTTTTTTCATTTATTTTCTCTTTTTAAACTTTATTATTTTATTCAATTATTTAAATTCGATTTAAATATTTACATATTTAGATTATAAAGAAACCAAGATTTTTTTTTTTACATGAAATACTTAATCTTTTTCACACACAGGTAGCTAACCTATGTGAAGAAGATTGGATTTGAATTATATTTATAATTAATTTCGTTCCATGAACATGTGTATTTTTACTCAATGAATAAAATTGAATTGAATTATAAAGATTGACCAAGTTTGTAGGCCAGTCATAATAATAATAATGATAATTATTATTAATATTATGACTGGCCTACAAAACTTGGTCAATCTTTATCTGGATCTTTATTATCATATTATATTTCTCTGTTAACCATTATATTTCTCTGTTAACCAATATATTTCCCATCTACAGGTCCAGAAATGGTTGGAATAATAATCCTTCAGCTTTACAGTTTTGCCGCAGTTATAAAAGACTGTTATTACATCATGACATCAAGAACATGAATGGAAACTGTGTGGCTCAAGATTCAACAAATGTGTTGTATACTACACATTCCAATAGGACAACCATACCATTAGACTCTACTGATATTCATATAATCAGAAAGTATTCATTGGAAGTTGAGGAATCCTATTTACATGATCATGACTATAGTATGCCAATCAACCCTTCCTTGAGTGATATATCTACGAATGTTGTAGCCTATGTAACAGGATATGCTATCAAAATGGCTATAAAATTGATCAAGTGTCCAACTTGTATTGAAGCTCTACAATCTCATGATACCAATAAAGGGGATTATTTATCACTCCTCTTGAGAAAAAAGTGGGGTAATTTGATAGTACCTTCTGATGATAGCATAAAAGTTTGTACATTAGTGGAGAGCAAACTGAGGAATGTACTATCTGTGACTGAGAACAAAATTCCAAGGGAACCCCAATTCTTAAATTATTTCATTTCAAGTGTTTATGGTGAAATTATGCATCGTCCTTTATTTTTAGACATTGATGATCATAATAAGGAATTTTTGATCTTATCTGAGAATCATAAGACTATAATAATAAAATCTCTATGCGTTTCATATTTGAAAATAAGGCTCTTCAATTTAGCAAATTCACAGAGCTATGAAATAAAAGGTGATTTAATTAGGAAGAAATTAAGCAAACTAGTACTTTTCAGTCATCAATGATTTTTTTGTATTCATCAAGTTGATATTTATTGTGGGAAAAATAATTAAAACAAGTGGAATATGGGTATAACAATGTTATTGTTTTTTAGTAATATATATAATTCCAATTTCATTTGCTTTTTTCATTTCAAGATTCATCATACCTGTCCCTTTGTAACTTGTTCATTTTGAATACAGATATCTGGACCCACTGTGAATTAAAAAAAAACAAATCCATGCATTTTCTTGTAATATTTTCGATAATATGGCTTTCCAAATTAATATACTACAGCTTCAGCTATTTTCCAGAAATTCATAGTGGGCCATCCTGTAACACAGCCCTCATAGGACGACACGATTTCGTGCAGGTAATATTGTGAAGAAATACCTACAATACCTACTAGTGTAGGGAAAAATTACTATTAAATTGAATAAAAACAGAAACTCAATGGATTGATAGTGAAGATGTATTATTATAAACATCTCAGTGAAGATTTAGCATTTGACAATTATTATAATCGATGTCATTTTATAGTGTTGTGCGACAAACAAAACTGAACACAGATTTTCCCATCAATTTATTTTTATCCAGAAAAAACTGCTTTTTTTTCCTCATTTCTATGACTTGAGTTGAAACAAATGCTTAGAACTGCTGTTGGACAACAAATAAAACGACGCCGTCTCTGAGCACAAGTTAGTGCGCAAACGCGTCAAGGGGCTATTTCCGCCATATTTCATCTCCTAGTAGGAACACGGCAATGAATTTGTAATTCCCTTCTCCTCTGTGTTTAAGTTCTGTGGTTAGAGCCCGTATTCGTGATGATAGCAAGGGAACTATGGGTCAATGTTCCATGATGACAATGTTGAAAATTCGGGAAGATGCGTGCAGAGGTTCGCAGATAGTGGTCATCCGTCATTAGTGTCATTACCGTCAATAGATACTAAACGTCATCAAGGTTTTTTTTTGGGATTCCGAGATTTGGCGCGTAGTGGTCACTAATATCGAGGAGTCAGTTTAAAAAAATAAAGAGCTAAATTAAATAAAGTAGTCTGAAAACTCTGAAAGTAAAGTGTGAAGAGTGAGTAGTCTGGGGTTGCCGGCATAGTAAGTACCGTTCTTCATCAGCTTGCTTGCAAGGAGCTTTGAGGTAGTGCAGCACAAGAAGCGATTAGAGGTTAAGGTAACAGCATGGCCCCTTCTCCGGGGGGGCAAGAGAGTCGTGCAGACATTAGTGAGGTAGTGCAAAACCAAATTTCTAATTATCTGTCACCCAAATCATATGAGCTATTAAGCTCATTGCATATATTATCACCTGCTCAAAAGGACGATTTAAATCAACTCAAGGAGGAGATAGCGGCGCTCAAAGAGGAGGTTAGTGTCAGGGACAATAGAGAGGTTGTAGAGGAATTGAGAATTATTTCCACCAAAATAGAAAATGCAAAAAGGCGCAAAATAGAATACTCCCAAGAGGATTTTGGACCATTCATAGTGATAGCTGAAGCAAAGAAAAAAAATGTAGGTAATATGCATCCTTCTGATTTGGCCAAAACATTATTCAAACTGGGTATTAGGGGCATTGTCAATGTAGCTCGCAAAGGGGTAAACCGTGTAGGAATAACCTTCTCAACTTCAAATCATGCAAACGAGTTCTTAATGAATAGAGCATTTTTGGAAAAAGGTTTTGTTGCATACATTCCACAAAGTTTATTAACTTGCAAAGGCCTCATAAGAGGAGTTGGATACTCTATTGAAATGGATGATATAATCAAGTATAATGATGCTAAGTGTAAAATTGTAGAGGCCAGAAGACTCAATAAAAGGGGCATTAGAGGTACTGAAGTTAATTTTGAACCTTCTACTACAGTAGTAGTCACATTCGAGTGTAGCAGGTCCAGGGTACCAACCACCTTGAGTGTTTTTGCATACTTTTATCAGGTAGAAGCA